GATCGAATCGAAGGATGTATGACTTACGTCAAGGATGCGGGAGATCAAGGCTCGGGACAGTCAGCTCGACGTACGGCGAGCCGAACCGGGTTGGTTCAGCTCGCCGTACGGCGAGCTGCTTTAAGTCGAGCTGTTTTGAGGCGACCAGCTCGCCGTACGGCGAGCTGGTTTGGGACGTACCAGTTCGCCGTATGGCGAGCTGAATCGGCTGGTTTGGCTCGTCGTACGTTGAACTGGTTCGGTCGAACCTGCTTGCAATTTACGGCGGATGCGGTTTTTTCGCATTTTTTTGCTTAACTTGGGCATTCGTGTAATCGGCGATTGTTTCGTTCGTTTTTTCGAGTTGATGATCTCCAAGTTTTCTGCGGATTTCCTTTGTTCGGAAAGTCCATAGAATTTTATAAACTACTTCTCGTATTTTATAAAACGTATTTTTATTATTGCGGAAAGTTTTGGTCATTGATTCCGTTGTACCGATTTTGACCCCAACATCATCAAACTCATCCCAAAAGCAAACGATAATCTAAGATTTGTCTAAACGCTAGGAACGGATCCAAACCATCTGGGAAATAATCGCAAGGACTGTTTAGCATCTCTCGTCGCAGCCACACGATTAAAAAACCTCTACCAAATATCAGACTGAAACTCGATGATTAGCGAAAGTCTTGAAGATATTTTCTTATCTAATAAAACGAGTTTTGTGTAAGAGTTAAAAAAAACCATAAGAGAAATCTACGAGCATCAAAGTGTTGCCCTCAGCCGTTAAATCAAATGAATCACGGACATTTGCAACAAAGAAAAATCAAGAACACAAGTAGCTGCGAGTACAATAAAAGGATCACATCCTCCCCACTTGTCCACTAGTTCTATCGCTGGTTAACAGATTCATTCCGCTCAAGAAACCTACAAAAATGTTTTGTAACTAGATCCGGGTGAAATAATCTTTGTTAAAACTCCACGGGTGACTCAAAGAAACTTTCACCAAAGGATCAAAATTAAAGCGGAAACGTTTCTGAAAATTTCTGCGAAAACATCCCTACTTTGACATCTCCATACGTCTCTCCAGTTTACCGAATTCATAAAACCAGTCACCCGTTACTTATGCAAAAAATCCTTCGTACAATCAGATCATGCCATGAAGAAAATTTCGAAAGTGAACGTAACAGGCTCTATGCAAAAAGTATTTTTTTATAGAAAAAACGAAGCTGTACGATCTGACATTGGACTACCAATCTAAACTTTATTTCCTGGCACTATGATCAGACATATCTCATTCTTTAGCCATGCGGCTCACTGGCATCCACCTTTCATTCCCCTTGGTTATATCCGAGCAGGTAATCACCCTGCAACTGACTCCGCACAGGCTCTGTATCGAGCCTCTTAGGCTCTGTATCGAGCCTTTTAGGCTCTGTATCGAGCCTCTTAGGCTTTGTCTCCCTCGGATAAAAAGAAAACACAATATATTCTGACGAACGTAGAATTCGTCGGATTTTTCTGACAGATTTCCTTAAACATTCCAACGAAAAGCATACTTTAAGATTTTCCAGAATTTTATCGGAAAATCGCGACGAAATACTGACGAAAGAGCGATCGTCGGAAATTTCTGACAAAATTCCAACTTTATTCTGAGGGAAATATATATCCGTTATGTGACCATTTTAAATGGTTTCAATTTTTCATGTTCCTATAAAATTCATCGGAGTTATCGACATAATTCTGACAAAAATATATGACAGTTTTGACTTCCGACAGAATTCCGACGAAGTATATGACCGTTTAACTTTCCGATGGAATTCTGACGAAATTTAACGTATTCGTTGGGAATATGTCAGAATTTTTGGAAATTTTTTTTTATAAATACGAGCTCCCCTTTTATTCCCCTCACTCACTCTTCATTCTTTCTTCACTCTATTCAGTCACTACAAATCCGAAAAAGTCATGTCTTTTGGAAACCATTATCGATTGTGGATGGATAAGCCTCAGTTGAACCAATTTGCTTACAGAAGAATATATGGAAGGTATTGGAAAATTTATGAGGTTTGTTCAACAACAACCGGAAGAAAATACCAATATGTTAAGATGTCCCTGGTCTTCCTATAATAATGATAAGGTTTTAGTAGAATGTGATGTTTGGACTCATTTATATATGAAAGGGTTTACAGATAATTATAAAGTTTCATAACAAAATATTTTTACCACTGATAAATTAAATTTCAATGTGCGACATTTTATGTTTATAGTAATTAATAATATTTTTAAAAAGGTCATTTCAAAGTTTGAAATTAAAGTATTAAATTCACAATATTGGTTCAATATAAATTTTTAAATTAAATTTTTTATGTATTTTTAGATAGTATATAGTTTAATTTAATGTCAACTAAAACATATATATGTATATATATGTAATTTGAATATCTATTAAATGATATTTCTTACTTATTGATTTTAAAAGCCTTTGTAACTTGTTATAACAAAAAATAGTCGATGTTGAATTTTTAAAACTTATATTAATTTATAGTCGTTTTACAAATGAGGCTTATCCCAAAAACAATTTATTATCTAGTTAAGGTGATTATTTAATTTATTTTGATATTTTCCGCATCAATTTGGTTACTTGCCGTGGCTCTGACAGAGACTCCGGAACCTGTGGAAAAATTAGAATTTTCCTAATTTTCCTAACTTTCCTAATTCATAGAAATCGACAGTGCAAATTTTGGGTCCCAAAAATTCATTCACACCCACTTGTTTTACAACATTTAGTGTATGGACTACTGATCTAAATACATATCTTGTTTGTAAGAATTTATATCTTTCTATATTACTTCTTTCTGTTTTGGCCAATCATTTATTTTGTGTAAACTTTTAAATAGACTTTGTTTCATGAACCTCTTTTCATTTATCATATCAACTGCTACTTTGCATGAAAACATTTCATCAACGTCGATTTGTTTATCGGTTCTATTTTGTTTCATGCATTGAGATCTCTTAAATTTAAATAGAAGCATTTTTTCTATATTAACATTACAAGAAAACAAAATATATTCCGACGAACATAAAATTCGTCGGATTTTTCTGACAGATTTCCTACAGCATTCCAACGAAAGTGATACTTTAAGATTTTCCAGAATTTATACAGAAAATCGCGACAAAATACTAACAAAAGAGCGATTGTCGGAAATTTCCGTTATGCGACCATTTTAAATGGTTTGAATTTTTCATGTTCCTCTAAAATTCATCGAGAATTATCGACAAAATTCCGACAAAAATATATGACCATTTTGATTTCCGATAGAATTCTGACGAACTATATGACCATTTAACATTCTGATGGAATTCCGACGAAATTTAACATATTTGTTGGAAATATGTCAGAATTTTTTGAAAATTTCTTTTATAAATACGAGCTCCCCTTTTATTCCCCTCATTCACTCTTCATTCTTTCTTCACTCTGTTCAGTCACTACAAATCCAAAAAATTCATGTCTTTTGGAAACCATTATCGATTCTGGATGTTTAAGCCTCATGTGGACCAATTTGCTTACAGAAGAATATATAGAAGGTATTGGAAAATTCATGAGGCTTGTTCAACAACAACCGGAAGAAAATACCGATATGCTAAGATGTCCTTGGTCTTCCTACAATAATGATAAGGTTTTAGAAGAATGTGATGTTTGGACTCATTAATATATGAAAGGGTTTACACATAATTATAAAGTTTGGTATCTTCATGGGGAAACTGGTTATGAATATGGTAGTACTAGCGAACATCAGCATGTTGATGGATTAGAAGAACCAATAACGGATGTAGATTATGGTGTAGATACTGAGCAGATGGTAATGATCATTATAGAGGGGAAGAACCCAATGCAGAATCTAGGAGATTTTTTGACATATTGGATGCATGAAAATAACTTTTATATAAAGGTTGTAGAGATGGTTAAGAAATTTGTAGCGGTCTTGGTTTACCGTATCAGAGGATAGATAATGAGCAACATTTCTCATTACAATTTTGGACAGAGGAAAATAAATTTTTTAAGGAAATTGACTTATAGCTAATTGACTCATTCATCTTTCCATTTTTGTATAATCGTTCATGACTTTTGGAAAACTGCTCTAATATTTGAAATTAAATAAAATTTCATCTTAAATCAATTTGGCGATAATTAAATTGACAAATCTCTCTAATATATTTTAAGAAGATTAAGTGGATTGCACAAATTATTTTACTGCTAACCTCACAAATTAAATTTCAGAATTGAATTTTGATTTGTTTTATGCTACTAAGTATTATTAATAAAATACATATGAGATACATTGATAAAATTTACATAGGAGATACTTTGGTAGATTATTTACCATTAATAATCTTTTGAAAATTATGTATTTTATAAAAGACACATGTTCAATATATAGAATGCAAAGTGGAAGAAGGCGGGAGAAAATTTGACCATTTTAATGATACAATATGTAGATATATACATACTTTTATATTGATAAGATAATTTTCTACATTTTCATTATATTGTAATCTAGTAGATGTCAGAAAATTAATTTACTTTTAACACTTGTTACATTCAAGATAGTAGAATATTTAAAATATTAGGAAATAACAAAAAAATTTAATCTTAACATGCCTAAAATATAATTTTTTCATTCACTTAAAAGCCCATAAATCTAAGGATATCAATGAAAAAATAACAAACAAAATATTTTTATAATAGTTACAAATTATTTACTACAATCACCCACACAACACAACTTATTATATATATATATGGATATGGATATATATATCTGTATGGATAGCTATCTATACGGATATAGATACATATCTGTATGGATATGGATATTGGACTAAATGATATACAAGATATATATATATATATATAAATATATATATATATATATATATCCTTAACTTTTAAACACATTAGTATCATTTACAACACAAATCTTGTGTATCATTTAGTGAAATATCCATATATCTTTGTGTGCTACCTCATGGGAAGAAAAAATGATGTGTCCTCTGATCAAGCCAATGGGTGGCACATCACGATAACGTTGACTGAATCAGATATCAACGATACAATAACAATATCGAAAAAACTTGTTGAAACCAAGTTAGTCCCTTTGTGGGGTGCAAAACGTTCTGCAAAATTGTTACAACCGAACTCGACTGAGATGGTGCATCTCTATGAGTGTGAATCTAAAATAACAACAGCTGTAGGCATGAAAAGAGACGAAAATGGAAACTTCAAACTAGATGGGTGGCAGGGGATTCAGAGCAAAAGAAATTACAGGACAGGCGATGTTATTAATTTTTGGTGGGACCAAAATAACGGTACACTTAATTTTGAGCTCATCATGATTGCTAATGAATCTTCGCAACCTGGTTGCTCTTTTATGCATTAACTTATAAAGGGTGTTCGGATCTTATGTGTTGATTAAGCTGTTATAGTATCATTTACACACTGCTTCTAGAGAGCATGTTGTTCATTAAGATGAGATATCTATTTGTCATTAATAAAATAACCTAGTAATAATTTTAAATAGCTACGAACAACTTTAATTTTTCTGTGGTTATAGAGAAAAGGTTTTTCACAAATTGTGAATGTATCTTGTAACTTTATGTTGGATAATTCCCGAAGATATAACTAAATAAACTAAATCAATACATGTTAGTAACATAGTGATAGACAAAACTAGCATAATCTTGCGATAAATACAGAAATGCCAAAATATATTGGTTGCCTTTCGCTTGTAGCAATGTGTGTATGAAGCAAAAACGGTAAATAAAACATAAATCTTGATAATATAAAATCTATACTATTATTTGAGAAGTAAATTTGCTTAGTTGTCAACTTCTCATTGATTTTAAGTAATTTAGCTTATTTTTCATATTTTAAATATTTTTAAATATAATTAGATAATAAAACGAATTTATATTAATAAGATGATATTTGTAGAAAATAAGTTAATTCTTAATACAAAACTGAGATATATAAAAATCTATACTATTATTTGCGAAATAATTTTTATTTTTATCATTATTATTTAAGAAGTAAAATTGCTTAGTTGTCAACTTCTCATTCATTTTAGGTAATTTTGCAAATTTTCATATTTTTAATATTTTCATATATAATTTATTACATAATGAGACAAATTTATATTACTAAGATGATATTTTTAGAAAATAAGATAATTCTTTTGTATTAAATTGTTATCTTGAAAATATATTTTCTACTATAGAAATAAAAAAATTGAGATATATAAAAATCTATACTATTATTTGCGAAATAATTTTTAACATTCGAACTCTCACGTTAAAAGTTAGAGAAACTAATATCAATATTACTTAGTGAATAATTATATACAACATAATTTATTCTACAATTTGAAACGAATTTTGTATTAATAATATTAGATTTATATGAAATGTTGGATAACTATTATAAAATAACATAATAAAATTATCATAATATATATTCTTAAAAAAAGGAAAATTTCTACATATATGCAGTTGTTATTAGAGAATTATTTTAAATTAATAAAATAAAATTATCAAAACGTGTATATCTATACTATTATTTAAGAAGTAATTTTGCTGAGGTGTCATGTTCTCCACAAGTTTACGTAATTTTATTTTTTATCATATTTTTAATATTTATATATATTTTATTTATAAATCAAACGAATTTATATGAATATATCATATTTTTTAGAAAATAAGATAATTCTTGTGAATTATGTTGTTATCTTGAAATATATTTTTATATATAAAACTTAAATTTTAAATTAAGATATAAACACTATTATATTTGTCTAAAACGAATTTGTATTAATAATTTAATATTTAAATATAATTAAAACGAATTTATATTAATGTTGTTATCTTGAAATATATTTTTATATATAAAATTTTAAATTTTAAATTAAGATATAAACACTATTATATTTATCTCAAACGAATTTATATTAATAATTTAATATTTAAATATAATAAAAACGAATTTATATCAATAATTTAATACTTTTCTAAAATAAGATAATCATTATGGATTATGTTGTTATTTTGAAAATATATTTTCCTATTATGAAACTTTAAATTAAGATATAAATATTATATTATTAATAATTTAATATAAATCATAATTAAATATAAATCATCAAAAAATTATTTGAAAATTCAATTTGTTGATTTGTCGCCATGATCCTAGGTAATTTTGATCATTTATAAGAATTTCTATAATTTTTTATTATTGATTATATAATTAAAAATAATTTATATTAATAATATGATATTTTAGAAAATAAGATAATTCTTATGTATTATGCTGTTATCTTGAAAAAATATTTTTCTATTATAAAATTTTAAATTAACATGTAAAAAATCTATAATATTATTTAAGAAGTGAATTTGATGTTTGCTGATTTGTCATATTTTTCATGATTTTAGGTAATTTGATAGTTTATCAATTTATATAATTTATTATACATTTAAAACAAATTTATATTAATAGTATCAGATTCTTAGAAAATAAAAAACTTCTTATGTATTAAATTGCTGTCTTGAAAATATATTTTTCTATTAGAAATTTAAAATTAAGATATAAAAATTTGTAGTTGTTCTATAATTGAAATAAATTTACACTAATAATATTATACTCTTAGAATTTGGTAGTTCTTATGTATTATGTTGTTATCCTGAAAATATATTTTATATTATACAATTTAAAAGTAAAATAGAAAAATTATCTATTATTAATTAAATATAAATTATCACTCAAGAAAAATTATTTAAGAAGTGAATTTGCTGATTCATTAAGTTATCAATGATTTTAGGTAATTTTAATTGTATGTCATAATTTCTGTAATCTTATATAACTATTATATAGTTAAAAAATTATCATATTATATTTTCATAAAATAAATAACTTATGCATTATTTTGTTATCTTGAAAATATGTTTTTCTAATATAAAAATGTAAAATTAAGATATAAAGATTATAATTAAATATAAATCAAGAAAATAGTTATAGAAATATATTCTTTTAAATATTCTGATGTTTGAGTTTTGTCATTGATAATTATTTGATGTTTGATTTTTATTTTTTTGAAAACATAAATAATAACTTACTATGTTGATTTTTAAATTAATGAAACATCAACTAATAAATATTCATAAGAGAATTATGCCCGCAAGTGCGGGTAAAACACCTAGTTTTTTAAAAAAATTACCAGTTCCAAATGTTTGAATTCAAAATAGTAGGCCACCAACTTAAAATCGTTCATAAATGAAGAATATAAAAAAAGTAATCTTGTTAATGAAAATATGTAATTTTACATCTTAATTATATATAAGATCACTTTAGGGTTTGCAAAGCCTAATTACTTTAATATCCTAACTAGATTAACATCCACGCTATGCACGGAATGATAATTGTATATACAAATTATTTAAAAAGCTTCCATAGAGGCTGTGGGAACACTACAGGAAATGTGAGTTTTAATAGCATCGTAGCATAGCGTTTTTGACATTTCTGCTATTGTATACCAACACCGATTTTTTTAATAGCGTTTATAAATTTCAAACGCTATGTTTGGTATCGCGGGAAAATAAAAACTTTTAGCCGCGTGAATTTACTAAGTTTTAGACAGAATTTCACTTCACCAAAAAAAACACTTTTGATAGAGTTGTTTTTTAGCCTAAGTCACTTCCTTTTTACAAAGAAAACAAAACTTATTCACTGTTTACTTGAATCAATATCTTCATCAATCTTCTGAAATAAAAAAATTAGATCCCTTGATGTCTCCTCTCTCGTCCTCAAGCTTCCCCATTTCTTCAAGCCAAAGGTCAGCCCTCTACTCTCTGTGTGTGATTAATTGTCGATAAACAAGAAAAGTTTGACACTTTCCAGTTTTTTTTCATGTCTCGGAGGCTATAGGATATT